AGAGAAGGAAAAAAGGAGGGAAGTCAAGGCAGGAACTCAAGGCAGGAACCTGGAGGCAGGAGCAGAAGGAGAGACCTTGGAGGAGGGAGGGAGGGAGGAAGGAAGGAAGGAAGGAAGGAAGGAAGGAAGGAAGGAAGGAAGGAAGGGAGGAAGGAAGGGCCAGCCTTATCTCCAAAGCAAGTTCCAGGACAACCAGGGCCATATATGAGACTCCAGAAAGAAAAAGAAGAGAGGAAGGAGAAAAAGAAAAGAGAGAGAGAGAGAGGAAAGAAAAGGAAAGAGAAAGATGCTTAAAAGTATTAGCATTGACATCAAGCTTTGTTTTTAGGAAACAAGTTCTTAGGGCAGAACAGAGCCATTCCTCAGGAAAAATCCAAGGGAACAAAAAACAAAAAGAGATTCAGTCAACTAAATACATTTTCTGTGCAACTAAGTACATTTTCTGTGCGACCACACTGTCCTTCTGAATGTGAGGGCTGAGTCTGTCTTGATGACTGATGAGACATTGTTTCATTTCCAACCTGGCACCTTTTCACCAATACCATAAGATTTTCCCAGAGCAATTACTCATCTTTATTTGAAAGTGGCATCAAATCTCCATGTCAGTTTTGTAAGAGACAGAAATGAGAGAATAAGGTCAAATGTCACTGCACACGGAGCAGTAATTCTACCAAGTACCCAGTTCCTCAGGTCATAAATGCTTGGGTCTTTCTCCCCCACCCCATTCTCAACCCATGAGCAAATCATTTGCCTTTACTTTCGAAAGAGACCTCAAACCCAACCATTCCTCATCACCTCCTGCTTCCATCACTCACTGGCCCACACCTATCACCTCTAGCTAATGCACTGCAACTGCTTCCCAATTGATCAGATCACTTTCATGATTGCCCCTTCCAACTTGGGTGCACGGTAGCTGGAATTGAACTTTTTCAAAACCTGCTGTTTCTCAAAACCTTCATGGTGGCGCACGCCTTTAATCCTAGCACTTGCAAGCCAGAGGCAGGAGGATCTCTGTGAGTTCAAGGCCAGCCTGGTCTACATAGTGAGTTCCAGGACAGCTGGGGCTACAGGGAGACCCTGTCTCAAAAAGACCGAAAAAAAAAAAAATTATTTCCTCATTCCTGAGTAGAATAAAATTTAAAGCTCTTTCCATAGTCTATAAGGCCTAATGTTGGGGTTGAAGAGATGGCTCAGCAATTAAGAGCACTGACTGACTCTTGCAGAGGCCCTGGGTTCGATTCCCAGCACCCACATGGTGACTACGAACCATCCTTAACTCCAGTTCCAGGGGAATCCGAAGCCCTCTTCTGACCTCCGTGGCATTGCACAACACGGGTGCACTCACATACATGCAGACAATACACTCATACACATAAAATAAAAATAATAAATAAAATATTAAAAGATATATATATTAATTTTTGAGACAGGGTGTCCCTGTAGCCCCAGCTGGCCTGGAAGTTGCTATGTAGATCATGCTAACCTCCATCTCACAGAGATCTACCTGCTTCTGCCTTTCAAGTGCTGGGATTAAAGATATGGATTACCATACCCAGCCTCTATTTTTCTTTAAAGATTTATTTATTTTTATTTTATGTATATGAGTGTTATATGTGTGCCATGTGTGTTGGCTGGTACCCACAAAGGCCAGAAAGAGGGCATCAGATTTCCTGGAATCGGACTTACAGGCAGTTGTTAGCTGCCATGTGGGTGCTGGGAACTGAACCCAGGTCCTCCGCAAGAGCAGCCAGTGTTCTTAACTGTGGAACCATGTCTCCAGATCCTCACCCCCCCAGTTCTTTTTCACTCACCTGGTATGTGGGTGGGGCTTGATTCAATGCACCAAACACTCATTTCTTTAGACCTTGGTATTTGTTCTTTGGTAAGGAACCTCCTTCCTTCCCCCTCCACATACAATTGGTCAGATGGCTACCTTTTCCATTATAGAAGCTTCACTTAACCTTCCTATCTAAAGCAGCGCATCTTTCGTGACCTCTACCCCCATCTCTTTCTGTTCCCACCCCCTGCTTTATTTTTGCTCTTAACATTGATATTATCTCCACCAGGAAGTTAGCTCCAGGAAAACAAAGGCTTTATCTTTTGTTGACCACTGAATCCACAATACCCAGAATGATACTTGGCATGTAGAAGATGTGCAGTGAACATTTATCACATGAGTGGGATGGAGCTCAGTGATCAGGCCCATGCTAGCATATGCAAATCCTTTCTTCTTTTGAAGTGCTGTATGGCTTTTCTTTTGTCTATAAGCTTCTTTGTGCTATTTTATCTTTGCTACTTTACCCTGTAATTAGAAAAATAAATAAATAAACCAGATGCAGTGGCACATGCAGTCAATCCCAGCACTCGGAAGGCAGAGGCAAGCAGATCTCTGTGAGATCAAGGCCAAGCTGATCTACAGAGTAACTTTCAGACCAGCTGGGACTACAGGGAGCCTCAAAAACTAAAACAAACAAACAAACAATAAATACATAAATAATTTGAGTTAATAAGAAGTTCTGGTGAACAAAATAATTCAGCAAGTATTTATTTATTACCTTCCGAGTGCCATGCAGACAGAGGACAGTATCCAAACCAAATTAAGAGAGAAAAATAGACAAATTTAATATACTGAGCTAAGTGCTGTGTCTGGGAGTCAGGACAGTCAACTTTGCGAGCACACTGGAGGGGTGTCCAACCAGAGAAGAAAAGAAATCCCAAAGCAGTGATGTCTCAGCTAGAAAGTGCAGACCATGTACAGTTTAGTCCTAAGAGAGTAAAGGGAGGTGGGGATAGTGAGCAGGTTAAGCAAAGAGCAGGTTCAAAGACTTGAAGCCAGGCAGGCCATTCACGAGTCTGTTTCAAGAGAATACAGACCTGCTGAATTAAGTACAAACCTAGATCAGTGTCTTATTAAGTCTTTCTTTAAAATGGATGATTTTGCTAGTTTCACTATTTTTTTAATTAAATGTATAGCCATAGTTCTTATATGGGTGATGGTTCCTGTCACTTATTGAATACTTATTCAGTGCCAACTCCATTAAATTATCACTTTAACTTACGGAATGGCTACTGCTATTTCCAGTTTTACAGATGAGGAGATTGAGGTTTATAGAAGGTTAGACTTTTCTCAAGTTTATACAGCTAAGTGTCCGAACAAGGACTTGAACTAGTTGTATCAAGCACTGACATCTTAGGGCATGAAATATGAAATTTCTAAAGAATCCTATATTTTGAGTGCTTGGAACTTTTACTATCACAATAGTTTTTTCTAACCATAAAGAACAGAGGCTGCTACGTCAGCTGCCTTCTTTTTAAAAAACTAGATTCAGAATTATATGAATATTCTCCATTCCCACCATAAATACGAAGTTTTTGAATCTTCAATGTTAGCATCATCTGTACTTTTTCTTTTTTAAATAATGATATAATTATTGCAACAAGCCATTTGTTTTTGTTTTTGTTTTTGTTTTTGTTTGTTTGTTTGTTTGTTTTTGGTCTTTTTGAAGCAGGGTCTCCATGTAAGCCCCAGCTGTCCTGGAACTCACTATGTAGACCAGATTGGCCTTGAACTCACAGAGAACCACTTGCCTCTGCCTCCCAAGTGCTGGGACTACAGGCTTGCGCCACCATGCCCAGCTCAAGCCATGTTTTAAAGGGCTTTGCCTTCATGGATTTATTATTATTATTATTATATTTTAAATATTTTATTTATTATTTTTATGTGTATGAGTGTATTGCCTGCATGTATGTGAATGTACCCATGTCATGCAATGCTGTGGAGGTCAGAAGAGGGCTTCAGATTCCCCTGGAACTGGAGTTAAGGATGGTTCCTAGTCACCATGTGGGCTCTGGGAATTGAACCTGGGTCTTCTGCAAGAGCAGTCAGTCAGTGCTCTTAACCAGTGAGCCATCTCTCCAGTCCCACTTTCATGGAATTAATCTTCACTCTCCTGAGAAAGAGATTATCCTTTTTTGGGGGAGGGGGGAGGTCTTTTTGAGACAGGGTTTCCCTGTAGCCCCAGCTGGTCTGGAACTCACTATGTAGACCAGGCTGGCCTTGAACTCATAGAGAGCCTCCTGCCTCTGTCTCCCAAGTGCTGGGATTAAAGGAGTGTGACAACATACCTGGCCAAGATTATCCATATTTTACAGATAAGAAAACCAAAACTCAGAGAAGTAAATTTCTCAGTCACACACTAAGAGAGAAAGCCACAGTTTGAATTCGGATCTCTTTAGTTCCCAAGTCAATACTCACATCTCTGTTGCCTTACGATCTAAGTCAATAGAACATAAAGAGCTAAAGTCACATCACAGCATCATGAACATTAGCATCCCTCAAATAGAAAGCCATTCAGATTGCAAAAGCACTGTTCCTTTTTGGCTTTACATCTAAATATATATAGAAACTCTAAGTTGATGAAATAGTTGATATATAAATGAGTAACTACAAGAGTTAATTTATGAATTACTGACCATAGTATATTAACTATGCTTTCAAATAGCATTTGAGCCTTTTTAAAAAGACAGGTTCTCACTATGTAGCCCTGACTGGCCTGGAACTCACTACCATAGACCAGGCTGGCCTCAAACTTATAGAGCTCCACCTGCTTCTGCTTCCTGGGTGCTGGGATTAAAGGTGTGCGCCCCTACACCCAGCTCCTTATTTCCTACATCTGTTCTTCCACAGAGTTCATACACAAATGAAATATTTCAATTGGGGTATTAATTATACTTTTGTATACTATTTTTCATGATTCACCATCCAACAAAATTTAAAGATGTTCTGGTACAGGGAGCTACTGTGGTTATGAAGGTAGTTTTCCCAGAGCAAAGCTTATCCATTGCCAACCCCTGCAGTTTCCCCAAATGTGGGAACCTTGACTGCATAATTTGTGGTAGAGGGGGACTGAGTTTGTACTCTCCCCTGAAATTAAAAGGAAAAAAAAATGTTCCAGCAAATAAGCATATCCTAATTTAATTAGCGCATTTCTTTTTTTTTTTTTAATATGGAACACTTCACAAATTTGTGTGTCATCTTTGTAAAGGGGCCATGCTAATCTCTGTATTGTTCCAATTTTAGTATATGTGCTGCCGAAGCAAGCACAAATTAACTCATTTCTTATTGTATTACCGGACACAATTCCGATTTTTATATTATCATTCACACAATGATGGACATCTTTCTGGATAAATCTTTGGCCTCATCCAGCACCTTTGAATTTTAAATTAATCTTTTTTGAAGGCACAATAGAGCTCACTTAGATAAGTGACTCCAGCAGGAAGACTCTCAGGCTCTGGCAAGCGTATGGAAAAAAATACTTTGCTGTAAGTGATCCTTCCAGCTATCTGTAACTGCCCTCTCAAGGTGACTGCCTGCTTTGCCAACTGAGAGGTTAGTTTGGGATAGCACTGCAGAAGTCCAAGGCCTAGAGAAGTTCTTAGACAAACTTAAAATATGATATAAGTGAGGCTACCATGTCAGGGGAAAGAGATGGATGGATGGAGACAGGTTTTGTCATGAAATCTTTTTTTTTTCCTTTTTTCTTTTTGGTCTTTTTGAGACAGGGTCTTCCTGTAGCCTCAGCTGGCCAGGAACTTGCTTTGTAGACCAGGCTGGCCTTGCACTCTCAGAGATCCGCCTGCCTCTGCCTCCCGAATGCTATGATTAAAGGTGTATACCACCACACCTGGCTTTTCATGGAATCTTAAAGCCAACAGAGATTTATGATATTATTTTGGTCCCCAACTTCCCAGGACAAGGCCCCATGACCTAGTAGCAAAGACTGGCAAGCAGTCTTCATTCCAACACCATCTCTGTAGATTGATGTTAAAGAGATGGAGCTGTAAGGTCCAAGATAGTGGGAGGAATACTATCATCCCTGAGAGCCATCTATTCAGGATGGAAGACAAAATGAGCAGGCTATGAGTTACAAGTTTGCCATCCCTCTAGCAATGTCTGAATGAGTAAACAGGTGTGATGTTATCAGTACAAAATCACTTTGTATTTTTTTTTCTTTATTTTCTTTATTTTAGTCTTTTTGAGACAGGGTCTCCCTGTAACTCCAGCTGGCCTAGAACTCACTATTTAGACCAGGCCTTGAACTCACAGAGATCCACCTGCCTCTGCCTCCTGAGTGCTGGGATTAAAGGTGTGTGCCACTATACCCGGCCTGTAAAATATTTATTAAGGCTTTAAAATATTTATTTTTGAATACGTAATATATTCACATATTCCCAATTTAAAAATTAAGACTGGTGCTTAGGTCTGTGAAAAGTCTCTTACCAAGTACTACACTCTAGTATCTCACAAGTCTTCCCTTAATCAACATTAATTTAAGATACTTTTAAAAACCTAGACGTCAGGCTGGAGAAATGGTTCTGAGGTTAAAAGCACCTGCTATTCTTGCAGAGGACCCGTTTGATTCCCAGCACCTATACTAGGCAGACAACCAACACTTAAGCGCACCTACCCCAACCCCACTTACATATAACAATTTTTATAATCTTAATAAAAATAAACTTAGACTCTACATGAAGACCAAATCATCATAGTTTTCAAGAGCAGACTGAATCCAATAACAACACTGAATTTAAACAGCTTATCTCTAGTCAAAAAGCATCATTTATTTTTCATGAGCTACAAGTCTATATTTTCAGTAGCTAAATGAGATTATGCTACCAATGTCCTTTAATTTTCTATGATTCTGTTATTCAAGATTAAGAAGAGAGAGTAGAGAGCAAATATCTGTTTTTGCATACAAAATCATAATCAAAAGGTTATTGCACCGGGCATGGTGGCGCATGCCTTTGATCCCAGGCAGAGGCAGATCTCTGTGAGTTCAAGGCCACTCTGGTCTACATAGTGAGTTCCAGGACAGCTGGGGCTATAGGGAGACCCTGTCTCAAAAAAGACAAAAAAAAAGAGGTTATTGCAAATGCTATCAAAATTAGGTTTAGAAGGGTCAGTGGGATGGCTCAGTGAGTATAGACATTTGCCACCAAGCCTGACAACCTGACTTCAATCCCCAGACCTACATGGTAAGAGAGAACCAGCTCCTGTAGGCTGTCCTCTCACTTCTATGGCATGCAGTGCTCTTCCCCCACCCCCACGCACACACACATAATAAATAGATAAATGTGGTTGTAAATATCAGGGTTAGCCATTTTCTTTTCTCCAGTGCTGAAGATCAAAACCAGGGCCTTACACTGCAGGCAAGAGTTCTACCACTGAGCTGCACTGTTATCATCTAGGAGTCTTGATAGGGTTTGTTTTCTCTGCCCAGGAAAGAATGAAAAGGCAAGGAAAATCTCAGACACAGCAGAAAGCAACAGGCATTAAGCTTTATTAAAAGTAAAGAAGCACATGAAACACTCACGCAGAGAGAAAAACTCTTCACAAGTGGAGAGGGCACTCAACAACTAAAAACTTCAAAGTCCCAGGAGGACTGGGGCCTCTTAAGTGTGGTATGGGGCAGATCCTCCTCCCCTAATTTTGTATCGATTAATTTAAAGAACTTCGAGTTGATAGGTTTACAGCTCCAAACAAAGATATATCAAGGAAATGGTCTGGACTGGTCAGCAGGAGTGCAAGAGTCCCCCAGCCTTTGTCTCAGAGAAAGAAGCCAGAAGTGTGCTGTCTTTCTCATCAGTGGCTCTGTCCACTTATCAGGGATTTAGCACCCCAGACACTGTATATAAAATCACTATAGTTATGGCATAACACATAAAGAACATAATGAAATAGTAATCCCTCAGGTCTGATCCCTGGGGTTTTTATTTCTAATTTCAGAGAAAGTGCATTCAGTTTCTATTTCTTTTACCATTGGGAGTCACCTTTAAGTCACTCGATTTTATGTCTCAAAATCAGGCCAGTAAATAAATGTTGGCGCGCAGGTTCTTGACCCCACGTGCTGTAGTAGCAGAGGCTTGTTTTTGCCTAGCAGTGACCGGAACTTTCTGCTGTCACCATTACTTTCTTGCAGCATGCAAGACGACAGCCTAGAAGCCTCAACTTCCATATCGCAGCTTCTCAGAGAAAGCTACCTAGCTGAAACCAGACTTCGCGGGAGCGAGGAGAGGGGTCGAGCCGAGCCTTCCTCCAGTCCTTTCCACTTCGGCAGTCCTGCGGCTGCGGAAGGAGGAGGCCAAGAAGACCTTCCAGATCTTTCAGCCTTTCTGAGCCAAGAAGAACTGGATGAAAGTGTCAATCTGGCAAGACTGGCCATCAACCACGGCCCTTTGGAGAGATCCGAAGACGGTCCAGCTGGGAAGCGGCCGTCGGATCAGATCAAGCATTCACCCAAATCCAGCTTGGAGCCCCGGTGCTGCCAGGAGAGCCCCCGAATTGCCGCCAGCTCTCGGGAGAGCCCCCCGGACACCAAGAGGCCGCAGTACAGCTCTGAAACCCAGTCCAGGAAGGTATTTCTAAACAAGGCTGCGGACTTCATCGAAGAGCTTTCTTCCCTTTTCAAAGCCCACAGCTCCAAGAGGATTAGGCCTCGGGCCTGCAAGACCCACAAGAGCAAACCCGAGTCTCAGAGCAAGGGTGCGCCGGAGGGCAGCCCCAGCTTCTCAGACCTGACCGAGAGCCGAGAGAGAGCGTCGGTCCCCATCCCCATCCCCGCCGACAGCAGGGATAACGCGGTGAACCACGCCATCGAACAGCAGGAAGCCCGGAGGCGGGAGGCGGAGCAGGCGGAGGCTGCGGGTGGGGACACCACCCCTGGATCTTCACCGTCGTCTGTGTACTATGAAGAACCGCTGGGGCAGCCGCCCCGCTTCACACAGAAGCTGCGGAGCAGAGAAGTTCCCGAAGGAACCCGGGTCCAGTTGGATTGCATAGTGGTAGGAATTCCACCGCCCCAAGTAAGGTAAAAATGGCCCATTAGTAGTGCTTAGCCATGCTCTCGGTCCACCACGATTCACCTAGGTGCGCCTTTAACCCTGTGGCTGTGAAACCTGCATACTCCTGCTGGGTGCTGGGGCGTGGTGACGTACACCTTTGATCACAGCACTTGGAAGGCAGAGGCAGGAGGATCTCTGCGAACTCAAGGCCAATTTTATCTACACAGCAAATTCCAGACCAGCCAGTGCTATACAGTGAAACCCTGTCTCAAAAATAAAAAATTTTAAAAAGTTATATACTCTCTTTGAGAAAGGCAGGCAGGGCTGACAGCAGCTGTGTTCAATAGGAACATAATTCTAGCTATAGATGTAATTTAAAATTTTTCTAGGGCTCTGAGGTATAGCTCAGTACTGGTAGAACATTTGCCTAGCATGTGGGAGGCCCTGAGTTCAACCCCAACCCCAGACTGCAGTAAATAAATAACAATTTCCAGGGCTGGGGATGTAGCTCAGTTGGTAGACTGCTTGCTTAGCTAACACGCAGGAAACTCTGGGTTCTATCCCCCTTACCTTATAAAACAAAAGTGGCACTCACCTGTAATCCCAAAAATAATTCTTTTTTCTAGAAACCATAGTTTTACTAAGCAAAAAGAAGTAGGTGGAATTGCAGGTAATAATTGATAGGTAAAAAGTTGGCGGAGAAGGAGCGAATGGATGATGAGGCACCAAGGCACAACTAAAACTCCATCAAAATAGGGTTTATTAGCAAAGGAACACATGGGACAGATTCCCTTCCAGGCAGGGAAAATGTCTGCCTGGGTCTTGAGCTTGAGTCTTTTAAAAGGGAGGCTTTCCCCTCCTGCAGAAGGCGGGAAGATGTATTTTTTTTTTAAGTTGGGGGGGAGAGTGGGAGAGCGGGACTGTGAAAACCTGCCCTCTTTAGAGATGAAAGGGGAAGCCTGCTGTGTTGGCCAAACAGTGGAGAAAAGTCTGCTTCTCTTGACTTCAAAGACCAAGATGCTTATCAGCTAGGTTCCCTTTTCTCAGGAGCATGAGAAGTCCTTGGGATCCTGTTGGTGAGGGGGCAGGGCTAGCTGAACCTTAACAATAATATACCTTATTTAGACAGCATATCACATTTTTTTTATTTCAACATGTAATTAATATAAGAAGGATTAATCAGAGGCTTACATTGTTTGTCAGGTCACAAATTCAAAATACAGTGTGACTTCTACCCTGATAGCACTTTTCAAAATGGATGCTAAGTCTTCCTAGGAAAAATATGCTCTACATCCTTTTATTTGGGGAAGGGTCCATGGCCAACCTCAGTTATATAGTGAGTTCAAGACCAGCCTGGCAGAAATCCACTTGCTTCTGCCTCCTGAGAGCTGGGATTAAAGGCATGTATTACCAAGCCTGGCTATAGGGTCAGTTTTTAAAGGTTCGTTTTTACTTGTATTAAATATGTTATAAAGTATCCTCTACTGGCTTAGTGAACACTATTCTCCTTAATCCCAAGTGTTTCCTTAATGTGTCTGATGAGGAGCCGGGATGGTCTTCTTGCATGCACTTGCTAACCGGCCCTCATACTTCCCCTTCTCTCCTCCTACCTCTGTAGGAGCTCTGGGATAGGGATAACAGACACACAATACCAGACCTGGCTTCTACATGGGTTCTGAGGATCCCAATTCAGATCCTCAAGCTGGGGAGGCAAACACTTTGTCCTTGGAGCCATCTCCCAGGCCCCAGGGAATTCCCCTTCTATGTGCTGAACAGCCAGCTTCTCTCTGAGGCAATGACAGGAAGCAGAAGCTTCAGGACTCCTGATTTACAGGGCTCTACTTAATTTTGTGTTCTAATTTTATTTTACGTTTTTAAGTAATTCTTCCATGTTTGTACTCCCACCCAACCTGGGACCAACCTTAGCTCAACCGGTGACATTAGCTACCTCTCATTACAAAGCAATAATATGTGGGCTGGAAAGAGGCTTCAGTGGTTAGGAGCATTGGCTGCTCTTCCAGAGGACCCAGGGTTGGTTCCTTGCACCCACATGGTGACTCACAACCATTCTGAACTCCAGTTCCAGGGGTTCCGATGTTCTTTTCTAGCCTCTGCGGACATTGCATGTAGTGTGCTTACGTACATTCAGGCAAAACACTATACATATAAAATAAAAACAAAATTTAAGACAAAAAAAATAAAAACCCAAAACCCTCAGAGTAATAATATGTGAAATGTAGTTGGAATGCATTACTTTTTTTTTTTTTTTTTTTTTTGAGACAGGGTTTTCCTGTAGCCCCAGCTGGCCTGGACCTCACTATGTAGACAAGGCTGGCCTTGAACTCATAGATAGCTGCCTACTTCTCCCTCCGGATTGCTGGGATTAAAGGTGTGCACCACCAAGCCTGGACAGAATGCATTACTTTTGGAGAGAATTGCTGATATTTAGATCTCTGTAAGAGTGTGCTTTCCTACTCACCTAATCACTACTAAAATATGATTTTACTACTACTTAATATTTTCTCCACATATCTCACATATTTTCTCCACAAGGTCTCACTTTTTTTCTACCAAAACATTCATACTCTAGAATAATCATAGTACTCATATTAATAACAGTATTTTATTTATATATGCCCATGAATTCAAGATATTCTGGCCCCAAAACATATTCAGATATTGAATTTTGCTTTCAAAGGCAACATAGGGCTAGCAAATATTATCTTTATAATGGCGTAGACACTTTAAGGCCACCCAATGAGACTTCAGGGCAGGGTTCTGAGTTTTGGTCTTTGACTCTTTGGCTTCTGGCCCATGGTGGTCACACAGGATTGCTGAGTTCAATAAATGGATAGGAAATTGAGACTAGACCTGCAGGATGATTTTCCTAGCTAAGTACTGGAGCAGTTTCTCTGAACGTGAGGAATGTTGGGAACCCTGAGAAGAAGGGGCAGTGTCCCCTCCTGAGTGGGAAACACCTTGAGGCTACCATGTACTCCTGATGGTGGCTCTCCACATTTGGGAAAGAAGGAGGCAGAGCACGTCATCTGAGTGCTGAAACCAAACAAAGCCAGAAAAGTAAGGAACTCACCTTAAATTTAAATCAGGAGGTAGTCAGTTGGCCCAAGACATGGGAACAAGTTGGGACTAAAGAATACAGGGCAGTGTCTGACCTTTTACTTTAAACTAACACCTTCTGGGACTCTAGTCAGTAAAGCTCGTGTGGTATCATTCCAACAGCATGACACACACCCCTCCATGGCGTCTGGTCAGTCTAAGCATGCTGGTAAATCCTCGGATTATAGCATACACACACTGAGAGTCGTTGGTCTAACCCACTGGTTTCTGGACATAGACTGATTTAAAAAAAAAAAAAAGACCACAGACTGGAGAGCTGACTCAGCGGTTAAGAACATTGACTGCTCTTGCAGAGGACCCAAGTTTGATTCCAAGCACCCACATAACAGCTAACAACAGTAACTCCAGTTCCAGGGGATCAGTCACCTTCTTCTGACCGCCACGGGTATTGTGCAACAATATATATGTATTTTTTTGTCTTTTTGAGACAGGGTCTCCCTGTAACCCCAGCTATCCTGGAACTCACTATGTAGACCAGGCTGGCCTCCAACTTACAGAAATCCGCCTGCCTCTGCCTCCCGAGTGCTGGGATTAAAAGCATGCACCACCAGGCCTGGCCAATATGTTTTTTTTTTAAAAAAAAAAAAAAAGACCAAATCATTCAAGAATGAACTCTGTTTTTAACTGTGGCAATCTTGGCTACAAGAATGAATTCAGTGCCCAATTGAGAAAATCAACCAGAAATTATAAAGTAGCCCCTCCCCAATCAAAGTAATCTGATAGCCACCTAAAACAACTTACTCAGCCATGAAAAAGTTTATAAACCTATACATTTTAAAGAGAGACAAGGACTGGAGAGATGGCTCAGTAGTTAGTTAAAACCCTTGCTGTGTAAGTGTGAGGACCAGAGTTCAGCTTCCCAGAACACAGCTAAAAGCCAGGCAGGCTTGGTGGCCATCTGTAAACCCCAGCACTTGAGAGACAAAAACGAGGTCCTTGGGTAAGCTCGCCAGCTAGAATAGGCAGAAGTGAGCTCCTGGTTCAGTGAGAGACCCTGCCTCGATAAACAAAGTGGAGAGCAATTCAAGATGGCACATGATCTCAAATTCAGCCCCCCATACACATGTGAATGTGCACCCGCACAATTCAAAGACACACACACTCACACACCATAAACATATACACACAAGAAAAGAGAAAGACACATAAGCACCATCCATGTAGCAATACTAATTTTACCTGACAAGAATTTCCTTGCTGATAGAATTCATGTCAATATCTCAACAATTGGTTTGAGGTCAGGAAACTAGTAGGAATTCAATGAATTTATTTCTGAATGAATTTGCATTTAATTTCATGACTACAATTATATGAAGAAAATTATAATTTTCTAGGTCAGCTATTGGCTGTCAATGTTTTCCTAAGGACAGAGTTTATACAAGTCTCAGAAATCAAATATTTGTTTAGGTTTTAATTTGTGGTCAGCACCGGTGTTAAATGCAATGACATAAGTAATATAAATATGTACCTGTGCCTTCCAGGAGGTTGCAATCCAATTGAGGATGTTGTCCTAACTTCTATGGTAATAAATCAGAAGGCTCTCAGCCTGAGGACTAGGAAAGTCAAAGAAGGCTGAAGAGATGTGAAGAGATTTTAGTTGAAGACTAAACAGGAATTAGTTAGAAATGGATTCATTTGTTCATTCAGCAATTGCCTGTTGAGTTGACTAAGTGGTTCACCAAGAGTGTAAAACAGTGGAGGTTAGTGACCTTGTGAAACCACATCTAAACCATTCTGAGAGGGTAACTCGTACAGCTATCTAGTACAGGAATCAGACATGTAATCAGAGCACTGCAGTATTATATAATAAGGGATATAAAAGAAGTTCATAGGGCTAGGGACGCAGCTTAGTGGGTAGAATGCTTGCCTAGCATGCACAAAGCCCTGA